TGATATTTTAGACGGAGGTTAGAAGAACTAACTATATTTATAGGAATTCATATGATGGAAACAAAAGTATTATCACCTAAGGTGCAAATTTTTGGTTCTGGGTTTTATTGTTAGCTACTCCTTCCATTTGACTACCATTCTACACGATACTAAAAAGGGGATCAAATTCATATCAAATTAATTAAAAATCAAAACAAAGAAATAACAACATATACTAAAACAATATTATAACATACGTAAAGAAAAAGAAAATACTCATATAAACTCTAGAACAAAAAACGAAAAACTACCATGTAGTGAATCTGAGAGGAAAAAAATGTTGGAATTCATACCGGTTTACAACGGTTTATAAAATTAATTATGAATTCAATTTCCAAGATCTCAAGCAAATACTAAATTGAATCTAGATCATCAGATTTAGAGTATACCTGCAGCGGAAAGATAAATAGGAAACAAAGTTGTGTAGCACTCCAAACGTCGTGCCTCTACCGGTATCCACACGCACACAAACTAGATCAGGACGGGATGCTAGTGCCGTATAGATCAGATCTTGACAAAACAGTTTTGCCTCTTAATTATGTTTAGGGTTTTATCGCAGGAAGGAGATATTCAACTAAGGCCACGTTTTCTCATTATATAATGATTACACGTTTGACCTAATACACTTAATTAATAGGCCAAACCCAATTACTTAACTTCTCAATAACGTGTATCTCTATATATGTCTATATCACATATATACGACATACATATATTAAACTTTCCTTTATTTGTTCTTTGTATAAATGTTAAGTTATATCTTATATAACTTATATATACATTATTACATTTCGAAACCCAACATATAGTCGATCTAGTTGCTTAGGTGTGTGACCCTGTAAGATCCGTATAACATTAGTAACAGATTCACAATCCGTAGATTACAAGCGGCTACTAGCAAAACATTATAACCACCTAATATTGTACGATTGTCAAACCTTGACGTTACGACTTCAACTAGAGAAGTACGGATGATTTTAGGACATTCCCAACAATCTCCCACTTGTACTGGAATCATCTATTCCTATAATCCCTTTGTCTCTATATCTCGATCTAATCATAAGGCAAGAAACTGTGTCATCCTTATTAAGCTAGATCATATTTATCGAACTTTGATTTATACTGATCAAACAAATGACTGACATTCACCTCGTTTGAGCACGGCCATGCATTTCTCAGTATCAAATCTTCGATAGGCCCAGATATATTATTCTCCCGTTATATGGGAGGGACAAATTCCATCTTGTTCCATCCCTGTTCCTTACACAATTCATAATGCGCCAAATCACTGTTTTTATAATCACCTTTTACGGCTGACGTTTGACAGAGTCAAAGCGAACCAGTCCATATATAAGATATCACGACGAACTCAGGTCAAAGGACTACACTCTATAGTCGTGATGAGAAACTCTTATGACACTCATATAACAATCTTGTAGATTTCTCATAGCGGGTCAGTCCAATACTGTGTTCTCTAACACATATCTATGTGATTGACTTTAATACAACATATTAATGACTTCACGAAACTTAGTCATCAGTCACCTCACATACTAGTCATCCTCAGTTATTAAAGTCCCATTTTAATAACCTTGACTAGGGACATTAATAATTTAAGTCATTTTACACTTATAGAGTTTCATGATCAAGTCACGTACTTGATGATCTATAAGAATGACAATAAATTATTTTGGGACTATTATTCAATTATCCAATAATAAAATAATACTGAAACTAATTTCATTAATTTGAAAATCAAATCAAATGTATGTAAACATGAACATCATATCATAAAAAGAAAATCTCCCACTAAAAATAAGATTACATCTTTATGAATCTAATGCCTATAGCAGCTGTATGGCTCTCATGCTTAGGTCGGGGAAGAGGCTTCGTCAAAGGATCAGCAACATTTGCATCCGTTGAGACTCTGCTAATCTTAACATCTCCTCTATCAACAATATCACGAATGAGATGATATCGTCTTTCTATGTGTTTGGATTTCTGGTGTGATCTAGGTTCTTTCGCTTGTGTGATGGCTCCATTATTGTCACAATAGAGATCCAGCGGACCAGATATGCTAGGGACCACACCTAGTTCAGTAATGAACTTCCTAATCCAAACAGCCTCCTTTTCTGCTTCAGAAGCAGCGATGTATTCAGCTTCGGTTGTAGAGTCTGCTACAGTGCTTTGCTTGGAGCTTTTCCAACTCACCGCTCCTCCATTAAGACAAAATATGAATCCAGATTGCGATCGAAAATCATATTTATCTGTCTGGAAGCTAGCATCAGTATAACCACTCACAACAAGCTCATCACTTCCTCCATAAATCAAGAATTTATCTTTAGTATTTCTTAAATACTTAAGAATGTTCTTGACTGCTGTCCAGTGACTTTCACCGGGATCGGATTGGTATCTACTCGTCATGCTTAAAGCACATGCAACATCTGGACGAGTACAGAGCATGGCATACATGATAGATCCTATAGCAGAAGCATATGGGATTCTACTCATTCGCTCTCGCTCATCATGCGTCGAAGGACACTACGTCTTGCTGAGAATAATGCCATGAGACATTGGTAGAAAACCTTTCTTGGAATCATGCATACTGAACCTATGCAAAATCTTATCTATATAAGTATCTTGACATAGTCCAATAAGCTTGTTTAATCTATCTCTATAGATTCGTATTCCAAGAATATAACCAGCTTATCCCATGTCTTTCATTGAGAAACAACTACTTAGCCAAGTCTTGACAGACTGAAGCAAAGGAATGTCATTTCCAATGAGAAGTATGTCATCTACATACAAAACTAGAAATGCAACTCCGCTCCCACTAGTCTTCTTGTAAATGCATGGTTCTTTTTCGTTTCTAACAAAATCAAACTCTTTGATTGCCTCATTAAAACGAAGATTCCAACTCCGAGATGCTTGCTTCAATCCATAAATAGAAGGTTGAAGCTTGCATACCTTCCTAGCAGTCTCAGGAACTGTGAAACCTTCAGGTTGTGTCATGTACACATCCTCTTCGAGATTTCCATTAAGGAAAGCTGTTTTCACATCCATTTGCCATATCTCATAATCATAATTAGCGGCAGTTGCTAGGAGAATCCGAATGGATTTAAGCATTGCGACTGGAGAATAGGTTTCATCATAGTCTATACCATGCATTTGTTTGTAACCTTTAGCAACCAATCTAGCTTTGTATATCAATATATTACCATCCATGTCTGTTTTCTTCTTGAAAACCCATTTACACTCAATGGCTTTAACACCATCAGGTAAATCCACCAAAGTCCATACTTTGTTTTCTGACATGGATCCCATTTCGGATCTTGCGGCTTGTAGCCATTTTTTGGAATCAGGGCCCATCATTGCTTCTTCGAAAGACGTAGGTTCATCACTCTCTATCATCAATATATCATGATGATCTGTCACCCAAACCCCATATCTATTAGGTTCGTGAAGAGTCCTCTCGGACCTACGTACCTCAGGTTCCACAGTTGTAGATTCTACGACTCTTCGTAAATCTAATTGATGTTCTTCCTCAGAATTTGCATCAACCTCCTGTGTTACTCGAACTTCTTCGAGTTGTACTTTACTCCCACTATTTCTCTTAGAAAGAAATTTTCTCTCCAAAAAGACACAGTTTCGAGCAACAAACACTTTGTTCTCAGCAGGGTTGTAAAAGTAATAAACTTTGGTTTCCTTGGGATAACCAACGAAGTAGCATTTATCAGATTTGGGTCCAAGCTTATCGGTAATCAAACGTTTGACATAAGCTTCACAACCCCAAATTTTCAGAAAAGACAGATTAGGAACCTTTCCAGTCCATATCTCATATGGTGTCTTCTCTACTGATTTTGATGGACATCTGTTTAGCGTAAACACAGACGTTTCAAGAGCATATCCCCAAAAGGATAATGGAAGATCTGTATGACTCATCATTGATCGAACCATATCCAATAAAGTTCGATTTCTTCTCTCAGACACACCATTCCATTGTGGCGTTCCTGGAGGAGTGAGCTGTGAAACAATTCCACATTCTCTCAGATGATCAATAAAACTTTGGCTTAAGTATTCACCTCCTCGATCTGATCGAAGGGCTTTGATTCTTTTGCCAAGTTGGTTTTGTACTTCATTCTGAAATTCTTTGAACTTTTCAAAAGATTCAGACTTATGCTTCATTAGATAAACATAACCATATCTACTGAAATCATCAGTAAATGTAATAAAGTACTGATAGTTTCCTCTGGCATTTATACTCATTGGTCCACATACATCGGTATGTATTAGGCCCAACAAATTGTTAGTCCTTTCGCTGTGTCCAGTAAAAGGAGCTTTAGTCATTTTTCCCAACAAACAAGATTCACATTTTTCATAAGATTCAAAATCAAATGATTTCAATAGTCCATCACTATGAAGCTTTTGAATGCGTTTCTCATTTATGTGGCCCAAGCGACAATGCCAAAGGAAAGTTGGATTTGAATCATTTGACTTAAATCTCTTGGTACTAATGTTATAGACAGGCATACCTTGGTTCAAAACATAAAAACCATTCTCTAACGGACCGCTACCATAAAAAATATCACCACGATCAAATGAGCAACACTTGTCTTTAATCGAAAAATGAAATCCTTCCAAATCCAAACAAGAAATAGAAATAATATTCCTGCTTATAGCAGGTACATAGTAGCAATTTTTAAGTTCTAAAACCATGCCTGAAGGCAGAGACAAAATAAATGTTCCTACAGCTAATGCAGCAACTCTTGCTCCATTTCCAACTCGCAGGTCCACTTGTCCTTTCTCCAAAGTTCTACTGTTGCTTAGGCCCTGCATATTAACACAAATATGAGCACCACAACCGGTATCCAATACCCAAGAGGTAGAACTAGAAGTAGCAACATTTACTTCTATAACATAAATACCTGGAGAAGAAGTCTCAAAAGTCTTCTTCTTCTTTTTCAGATCTTCCAAGTATTTCTTGCAGTTTCTCTTCCAATGTCCAGAACCATTACAGTAATGGCACTTATTTCACCAGAAGGACCAGGCTTGATCTTAGGAGCCTGGTCTGACTTGCTTGGATTCTCAATCCGACTTGTCTTACTATTTCCTTTGTTCTTACCAAGTTTCTTAAACTTTTTACCCCCTTGTACCATAAGGACGTTAGGGGTGCCCTTCTTGATGTTTGGTTCAGCAGATCTGAGCATTCCATGCAGCTTAGTCAAAGTCTTTGTCAAATTATGCATGTTGTAGTTCATAACAAACTGATCATAACTTGATGGCAGTGACTGAAGAATGAGGTCAGTGGCCAACTCTTGGCTGATAAGACAGTCCAATTTTGCCAAGTTATCAATATAACCTATCATCTTAATGACATGTGGGCTAACTGGACTGTCTTTAGGCAGCTTGCAGTCAATGAGAGCTTTAACCGTCTGGTATCTCTCTGTTCGTGCTTGCTCCTGAAACATTCCTTTCAGGCTGGTGATCATGTCAATTGGCGATTCCACGTTCTCATATTGCTTCTGCAAATTTGAGTTCATGGTAGCCAACATGAGACAACACACATCGACCATATCACTGGCATGCTTCTCATATGTATTCCTCTCTGCATGTGGAGCATTGGACTTAGGTTTTTCAGGAGGAAGACTCTTCTCCAAGACGTATTCCTTTTTCTCCTGTTTGAGAACAATTCTCAGATTTTGATACCATTCGAGGAAGTACATCCATTCAGCTTGTCCTTCTCAAGGACAGATCGCAGCGAAAATGAGCTGTGAGGGTTCGACATAGCTGGATCAAAATAATAGGAAATGTTAATATGATGTTCAGGTATTTGAGAAATCTCAACAATTAAGAAAATTCACATTATATTCAAAACAAAATTTTCCTCAAAAATATGAATATAATGATCCAAGATCCATATATCACTAGAATTCAAGTGAGCTTTGGCTCATCGCCCGAATGTCTAGCTATTTAGGTAAGCAACACCTTTGCTAATTATATCCTATATAACTCTTGGTTGTTAGACGACATCTTATGTCTTATCCAACCTATGCCTCTAAGTCCAAAACCGTTTTGATAACTTAGTCAAGTAAACCAATCTTATTTCATATGGTAACCATTACCATCTATCACACTTATGTAGTTGTAGATGCCTTGCTTGGCAAGCCCATCAAGCAACGAAACAAGCCTTGATAGTTGAAAGATTGGATAGACATCAAAAATACTTGAGATTATTGAGGAATTAATTTTAATCCAATTTAGTAGTTATATTTAAATTTTATCTAATATAAAATATCTATACATATCATATATGTATTTCTATTGGATTGTAAATAATTTAAAGTAATTTTCATCTAATTAAAACTATAAATTATTATATTAATAATCTTAATAGATTCCAAAACCCTAATCGTATTAGAACTTGAACTAAAAGATTTAAAATTAGAACTCGTATCAAAGTACGAATTCTTATACTGGGTCGAATGCACGAGGAACAACACCCATACTAATTCACTCACAAGATACAAAATGCATATATATTATTTATTTAAAAATCAAGCAGTCGTGTATTACCATAATACGTGCTACGTTCAAATCCAATATATGCACAAACTTTATATCTATGGCATTCACATGTTACTAAATGACAAATATGTATGTCTTCGATTATTATAGTAAGGATTTTGTACATATATCGATTATGACAACCACTATCACGCGAACATATAAATTTTGTGAATTACTAATCAAATTATAACTATCAGAATTATTATATGTCAGAGATTCGACGAACGTACTGATTTAATTAAAATCATAAAACTCATGGTTTAATCAAATCAATATTCACACAAACATGTTTCATTAAATTTCATAAATTCAAACATGTTTAAACCAATCAAATTAACATGTATTACGGAGTAGATTTGTGAATATTGCCTTTTTTCTCATGTTTCCATATTTGTATACTAGCTAGGGCTCTCACGCTTGTATATATAAGTTGCATCTCGTATCTAATAAAACCCAAGCCGTTTTATTGCAAACTTGTTATGGTATCAGAGCCAGAAACGGCGACAAAACCCCAAATCAAAATCGTAGAAGTCATGGACAAGACAGAGAATCAAGAGAAGAGCTTGGTGGTGGCCAACGCGGAAGCGAAGTTATCACCATATTTCCTCAGTACAGCAGATAGCCCGGGGAATCTCATCACAAATGTGCAACTCAAGGGAGACAACTATGAAGAGTGGGCAAAACATGTGCGGAACGCACTAAAGACAAAGCGGAAGCTTGGATTTGTCGATGGAACTTTGCAGAAACCGACAAAATCTACAGAAGCAGAGCAATGGGAGGTTGTGAATTCCATGTTGGTGGCGTGGATAATGAATACGATCGAGCCGACTTTGAGGACGTCGATCTCGCTTGTTGATGATGCAAGTGTATTATGGGAAGATCTGAAGCTGCACTTCTCAGTTGGTAACGGACCAAGAGTGCATGAGTTGAAAGCGGATTTGGCAAATTGCAAACAAAACGGAGAAAGCGTGATGATGTCCTATGCAAGGCTCAAAAAGATGTGGGATGAGTTGGCTATCTATCAGCCAATTATGACGTGCAGTTGCGGAGAATTGGCGGCGAAGCTTAACAAGCAAGAGACAACGAACGAACTCATCAGTTTTTGATGGGTTTAGATGACGTGAGGTTTGGAGCAATTCGGTCAACACTGACCAATATGGAGCCATTACTCAAATTATCTCAGGTGTATCAGCGGGTGGTTCGTGATGAACGACAACAAACGATTGCTCGCAACAGAGAAGAAAAGACAGACGTTGTTGGTTTCTCAGCCCAATCTGATAACAGAGGAAAACCGGCGACTTCCCAGTCTCGTCGAGACGTGACTTGCACACACTGTGGAAAATATGGTCATGATATCTCAGATTGCTATCAAATCAAAGGATATCCTGATCATTGGGGAGAGCGAGGACGAAGCAACGGAAACAGGGGCGGAGGTCACGGCGGTCGATTTGGCAGAGGAGGAGGAGCCATTGGAGGTTTTGGAAGAGGGCGTGGATCAAATCCAAGTTTTGCCCGCGCCAACGTTGCTCAAACCTCCGAAGATGCAGGTAGTCTTGCAAACTCTGCACAGGTTCAGCCGGTAGCAAACTCGGCTGCAGCAACACGTCGAGACGGAGGATATGATCGTGAGTCATTGCCGCAGCTGAGCGATGATCAGTGGACTGCGTTACTGGGATTTCTGAGCCAGCAGAAATCATCGAGTTCAGCAGCAAAACTTTCCGGTAAAACAGAGATGATTATAGACTCTGGTGCTTCGCACCATATGACATTGAATTTGGATTTTTTGACTGATGTAACAGATATAGCCCCATGTTCTATTCGGCTTCCTGACGGAGATCGTGCTTTAGCCCAGCAACAGGGGCGGATGTGTTTGGGTGGAGATATATGGCTGAGCGGAGTCTTGTTTTCGCCTGAATTAACTTGTTCTCTCATTTCTGTTGCGAAGCTGCTTAAAACGACTAAGGGATCGATCACCTTTACTGAGGATTTATGTGTTTTGCAGGACCGTACCTCGAAGACGATGATTGGTGCGGGTGAAGAGTGCGATGGGGTTTACAAGTTCAGAGGGATCTTCAGCGGACAAGCCAACAACACAACAACTCATGGTCAACGTGCGCTGTGGCATAGCCGTTTAGGACACCCTTCTAGTCGTGTTTTGTCTTCTTTATCTGGTGTTTTAGATATTGGTAAAACTGTTGAAAGAGACGAGGGATGTGATATTTTTTATCGAGCTAAGCAAACTCGTGATTCGTTTTCTGAAAGCAATAATAATTCAGTTGATATTTTTGATTTGATTCATTGCGACGTTTGGGGAGCTTATCGGACTCCATCTACTTCAGGTGCAATATATTTTCTCACCATCGTGGATGATCACTCCCGAGCAGTATGGATTTATTTGTTGCTTGAAAAGAGAGAAGTCTCTGAATATTTGCAGAAATTTTGCGCTATGACGTTGCGTCAATTTGACAAGAAAGTGCGAGCTGTTCGAACGGATAACGTGACAGAATTCACTTGTCTCAAGCACTATTTTGAGCAAGAAGGAATCTTGCATCAAACAACATGTGTCTACACACCGCAACAGAACGCACGTGTGGAACGGAAACACAGACACATTCTTAACGTTGCTCGATCGTTGATGTTCCAAGCATCATTGCCGGTGAAGTTCTGGGGAGAATGCGTCTTAGCTGCGAGTCATCTTATCAATCGAACTCCTACGCCGTTGCTACAAGGTAAAACACCATATGAAATCTTGTATGGAAAAGCACCTTCGTTTGATGGGTTGAAAGTATTCGGTTGCTTGTGTTATGCGCGAAAGATATCTTAGGATAAAGATAAGTTTGGAGAACGTAGTAGACGATGTGTTTTCTTAGGCTATCCATATGGAAAAAAAAGGATGGACGTTGTATGACTTGGAGACACACGAGTTTTTGGTCTCAAGGGATGTGAAATTTCACGAGACGAAATTTCCGTTTGCAGAATCTATACCTGAGATGAGAGATATCGTTAGTCTACCTCCAGTGTCAACTCTAGTTTGTGACGATGATTTTCAAGAAGCTGTTGTGAGGGGGAGAACAGAACCAGAACAGAGCAGTGAGGAATCTCTCTTGAGAGAGGCTGTAGACGAAAGGGGGAGTTCAGATGGGAACAGTGAGACACGGTCGCCGCCACGCGAATCATCTGAACCACCATCACCTCCTTCGATTCCCACCATTGTAGCGGGAGAACCAGAATTGGGGCGAGGACACCGACAAAAGATAAAGAACACGCGATTGCAGAACTATGAAGTTTATACGACCACTTGTAAACTCAATCCCTCGCACTCACCTGCACCTGCATCGTCCTCGAAAGCAGGTACGGTTGCTTATCCCCTTGCAAATTATGTGACATGTGAACGGTTTTCTGGTCATCATGCAGCGTTTCTTGTCGCCATCACGGCGGGATACGAACCCGAGTCGTATGCAGAAGCTATGAAACTCAAAGTCTGGCGTGATGCAGTGGACTTTGAAGTTAAAGCATTGGAGAGGCAACATACATGGGATGTCGAAGATTTGCCACCAGGGAAAACAGCTTTTGGATGCAAATTCGTTTTTAAACTCAAATTCAATTCAGATGGCACGATAGAGAGACATAAAGCTCGTCTGGTAGTAATGGGTAATCGACAGAAGGAGGGAAAAGATTACAAAGAAACGTTTGCACCCGTCGTCAAACTCACTACAGTTCGTATGTTTCTCAAAGTAGCAGCTGTTAAGAATTGGATTGTGCATCAAATGGACGTGCACAACGCATTTTTACACGGAGATTTGGAAGAAGAAGTGTACATGAAACTTCCACCAGGGTTTCAAGCTGATGGTCCGAATAAAGTTTGCCGGCTACGGAAATCGTTATACGGGTTGAAACAAGCCCCCCGGTGTTGGTTTTCAAAGCTTACTCACGCGTTGCTTGGATATGGTTTTGTTCAGTCATATTCTGATTACTCGTTATTCTCTTTGACACGAGGGAAGATGTGTCTTTATGTGATCGTTTACGTAGACGACTTACTCATTGGTGGGAATGATGAAGAAGCTCTGGTTCGGTTCAAAGGTTATTTAAGTCAGTGCTTTCATATGAAAGATTTAGGGCCTCTCGAGTATTTCTTAGGGATTGAAGTCTCCAGATC